GACTGGGGAAAAAAATATGTATCTTTTTAAAGGTAAACAAAATAAATTTAGTTAATCATTAAAGGAAACCATTTCTTAAGCCAAGTGAGACATATATTTTAAGATGAGATCATTAAATATTAAAGAGTAATAGGATAAAAGATTGCAATACAAGACAAAATAATTGTTGTTCATGACATTTTAAAAATTATATAGCTCTCATAATTTTCAAAATATTTATTAAATTCATCCTCGAAAATTTAATAACAAGTCCAAAATTCATTCCATCACACATTGAATTAAAAGTCATAATAGTACCATTCTCCCCAGAATGAAATCTTTATTCCTTAAGCTGCTCCTCAATTTGTTTGCAGTGCAATTCAGTTATTCTTTAAATTTAAAACAGTGTTGTTTGCCACAGGAACTGTATAAAGTCTGCAGAGCACAAAGTGAAGCAGAGATCAATCAGCGGGTTAAATATATTTTCCTGGGCAGTCTACATTTCGTGGCTTGAATTGCACTCTCGTTTCTTATATAGATAAAATTAGCCAGCACAACTTTAGGTTAAACTGCGTAGAAAATGCTATGAAGGTAGCATCTTTATATTTCTGAACTGCCCCACCATGACTGAGCTAAAAAGAAATTCCCTATCTCTGCAAGCAGCATATTGCTTTTATTTTCAAAGGAGCAGAGTAGGGTAAAAATATGGGCATTGCTTTTTTTTTTTTTCCCCCGAAGGTAACACTTTAAAAACCCACCGGAAGAGGAATAATTGATTTATTCCTTGTGTAAACAACATTGATAGTTTTTTAAATCTTGCATGTTGTTTTAGATAGAAATTAAAGCATTGTCCCATACCTTCAACTTTTCTGTGCTCTGAATATTTCATCGACTTCTGTGACCTTGAGTAGAGCTATTGAAAAGTCTAGACTTGATCTTTCTAAGTGTAAGTTTCATTCTGTTCTTAAAATGACATGATTCTTATTGATGTTAAAATCCTGAATCTAAAAACAATGTGCATTCTTCTAAAAACATCTGCACACTGATAATAGAAAATTCGGAATACAGGTGGTATTTCGTGTCCACAAGTAGCCACTTATCTACACAGGAAAGATAAGTAATGATTTGTGTTTAAGAATAGGTAGAAAAAAAGAAGTCCTGTAAACAACCATAGGCACAGCACCACTGCTAACTCTTTTTTATGTAAAGAACGGGGTTGGCACTGTTTCTTCAAACCTCTGTAAGGAAAGAAGCTGGCACAGTGCTGGAGGTAGCTGATGCCTGGCTGGAGAACAGAAACCCAACAACACTGAAAATAATGCAAAGTATGGACATGTTGACAGAAATAGGAGATTCATGTCCTTAGGGAATGCCCACAGGAATCCAAAGTAGCTTTTGCCAATGACCATTCACTAACACATAATTAATGCTGAATATAAATTTATTAAATAAATTAATTACTTCAAAAGTAACTTCTGCATAAGAAGCTCAGAAATAAATAAATGTGCATAAACTATTCTAAAATTTCAGGATGGTGAAAGAAAGATCAAGGTTAACTAAAGATAAGGACTTGTTTCCAGAGGTCATGCTTGAATTGTCTTTTAAATGAACAGTGCACTGTAAGCTATTGGTGACAAGACCGAAGTTCATTTATCTTTGGCTTGTCACACATTGTAACACCTACTGGACAGTTAGGAAATATTTATTGAATAAGTAAGGAGAAAGGAGGTGAGGCAAGAAATGTGTGGCATCTGTAGCCTTTGTTAGGGGCTAATTTGTACAATGCTAAGGCATTTGAGATTATACTATGACTGGAGAAATAGAGGGTTGTGAAGCTGAGGAGAAAAATATGATTTCATTTTTTATTTGGTAGAAATGTGGAGGGTGACTTAGTGGGCTGGGATTTGATGGCAGGGAGTCCAGTTAGAACAGTACTGTGATTATGTAGACAGAATGATGAAGATCTGATAACTTAGTTGAAGAACCTTCTCAGATTTTTAGGGGTCACTCACTTAAATGATAAATTGTAAAGGTACCCTTCCATGGCATTCAGTGAAACAGGTCTTCTTGAGTAGAGTATAAAGATACCATATATGTAAAGTACCATAGTTTAAGAAACATCAACATCTAGATTTCCTTCTATTAAAAGCTAACTTCTATTATGTTTTCCAGAAATAAGTTAATATTTATATCTCTGGTGGAATACCTACATGCCTATCTGTTTGCTTAGGAGTGGAAAAGAAAAGAAAATCTGACTAAAACATTGGGATTGGTTACTATTTCAATGTTTTATGGTCCTTTTCTTAATAGTTTATCAATTACATAAAAATCTACAACATAACTATGTGTACATAACAGAATTAAATATGCTTATTTATGGGTGATATAGGCATATTTCCATTTAATGTTCTTTCCAAACTATAAAAAAGGACGGAAAAATTTCCAACATCCATCTTATTTAAATATATATTAAGTGGCTATCACCTTTACAATGTCAACTGCCCTCTTTCTAATTTGATGTTTAAAGACAACATGTAATTAATGTACAATTTTAAGGAACGAACAAGATAGAAACGAGTGGGTTAGATGATGATATTTCTTGAGTGAACACAAGCTATTTTTTAAAATGAATTAAAAGTACAACTATGCACAGGAGGTGGCACAGCATAGTTAACAAATGCAGCTGCTTGACAACTAGAAAATGAAGAGAATATTCTGTACTGAATGAAAACAAATTATTGTAATGTATATCAATGATAAGATGGGAGTATATATATTTAAGTAATTCTGCTGGTCTCTCAAGAGAGAGGCGTTCCAAAAGTTGCAAGGCTCACGAGTATGTCCTCACAAAACAGTACTGGTCATATACAATGTTCTTTTTTGCTTGTTTGTACAGTTCTGTCTCTTGAGAAAGATAAACATGATATTAGTCCTCATACATGAGAACAACTCTAATGCCAGTGAAATGCTCAATAAAACTAAAATTTAGTAATGGGCCTTAAAGGATGGAAAAAAGTAGATGTACTCCTCAGTTTTGCATTCAATACACAATTGATGGATCTTCTTGAGTAATATTGATACATTCAAAAATCTCCTGCTCCCTTGAAGAGTGACTTTATAACAAAGTTGGAAATAAATAAACTGAGCTTGGCCTGGTGCAGTGGCTCACACCTGTAATCCCAGCACTTTGGGAGGCCGAGGCCAGTGGATCACGAGGTCAGGAGTTTGAGACCAGCCTGGCAAAGATGGTGAAACCCCATCTCTACTAAAAACACAAAAATTAGCATGGCACGGTGGTGCGCCCCTGTAATCCCAGCTACTACTCGGGAGGCCGAAGCAGGAGAATCGCATGAACCCAGGAGGCAGAGGTTGCAGTGAGCCAAGATCGTGCCACTGCACTCCAGCATGGTGACAGAGTGAGACTTTCAAGATAAATAAATAAATAAAATAAAAAATAAAAATAAAATAAACTGAGTTTGTGCAGAATCGAAATAACAGAAGTCATATACTAAGAAAAATGTTTTGTATCAGCAAAATTCTCTGCTTCCTCTTCTTGGCTTATAAATCAAAACATCATTATGCACTTGACAAGTATAGGGTAAACCATGTGGGGTAAACATTTGTGCATTCTAAACTGCAAAAAAATGCTTTTATAGTGTCTTTTCTTGTGCTGTATTCTGATTAATACTGAAGTCTTGTTGCACTATTTTGTGATTTTTAAAGTTACTACCAAGTGAAAAGCACTCTTCTAGTATAGTTTACCTCAAGTATGGATTGTGGAAGCATGATTTTAAAGGTATTTATTTTCTCAAAGAAGATTTAAATCTATTGAAGGAGGCAGATATAAACAAAAAGAGTTAGAGAAAGTAAGAGTAGGAAGTTTGAGTTTGTATTTAGAATGTTTCTAGCTAGTTTCGAGGCTTGAAGTTAGTATAATCAAGAGGAGGGTTTAGGTATAGGGATGTTAAGAATCACAATTATCCTGGGAACTTGAGAAAAGTACACATACCCAGTGCTTCTTGCCTTTCAAGAAATAGCAGAATATTAGGAGGGCATTTGGGGAAGATGGCTATACTTCTGATTGTTATAGAACTCTTTTCAACTCCCCTTTATGAATAACCATGTTGCTAAAATGTAAATTGCTCAAAGACAATAACATAATCTAACCCTTGCCAAGGGCATAGTAGCTTCTCCCGAATAGGTGATGAACTGACTGGATAATTATCTACCATATGCTGGAGACCTGGACTAAAGCTTATTTTACACAAACTTTCAAGTGCCAGCCAATGTCATTTGAACACTAATTCCAAGTGTAGCAAATACTCATCAGCACCAGTCCTTACAACCCCTGATGCTTATTTTATTTTTGTCCATGATCATAAATGAATATATGAAATAGATGGACAGACAGATAGACAAACAACTGAAGATCTATGGCTCTAGGGTCACCTCTGTTGCAGTGGGACATGGGATATAGCGAAAGTCTCAGTTTACCCACCTTGCACATACCAAGTTTACAGATGGGAATAGTAACACCCTTATTCATATGATGGGAAGTAATAAAGACAAGAATGTATATGAAAATGCCCATCATGAGGCTTGGGACATAAAAGGTTTCAATTGAGTACAGTATGACAGATTTTGAATTTAGAAGTCAGAAAAGGGAAGTAGGTAATATTAGGACCCATAAGAAAAGTGGATCTTTCATTTGTCTTACATTAAAACCAAAATCATTTGGGTCAATAATTCCAACATTCTGAAAAAAAAAATGTGTGTACACAACTTTGGAATCAAAAACACCTTTGAATTCAGGCAGAACGTCCACTCGAAGAAAACATTAGTGTTTGATATTATGTAATCACTGATTGAAATATATTCAAGGAGTGTTCAGCCCTGTATCTAAAAACAGGAACAACAAACCATAAAAATATTATTTTTGTCTGGGCACAGTGGCTCATACCTGTAATTCCAACACTTTGGGAGACCAAGGTAGGGGAATCTTTCAGGTTAGGAGCTCAAGCCCAGCCTAAGCAACATGGTGAGATACAGTCTCTACAAAAAAATTTAAAAGTATCTGGGTATAGTGGCTTGCACCTGTTGTCTCAGCTACTTTGGAGGCTGAGGTGGGAGGATTGCTTAAGTTCAGGAGGTCGAGGCATCAGTGATCTGTGTTCACATTTTATATATATATATATATAAAACAATATATATACATATTTTGTATATATACATGAAATATATGTACGTTTATATATTTTTTTACTTTTAAACAACTATGTGAAAGTGTTCCATATGTTCCATGTCATCATTGATGTGTCAAACAGCTCTAAAATAATTCCTGAGTTAATTTTTCTTCCTCTCAGTATCTTCTTTTATTCTCCATAAAGAAGCAGATAACTGGACAACAGCTTCTCATATGAATGCAAAATAACAAAAATTATTGGTGTGAAGTAATTGCTATTGCCCATGAAAACCTTTATAATTATTGTTGCCTTTGTGAAATAATCAATATTTTTGAAAAAAGAGAAATTATATATACTGAAATTATAAAATTAATAATACCAATAGTTTTAATTTTATGTAATCCTAGTTCATTCAGAACTAAAAAAAATGTTGTGGCTTATACCATAGAACATCATTTTACATTATAGAACAATGAAATTCCAAAAGGTTATATGACTTCTTCAATATTATATAATATATGACAGGCAGAGTTAGGACTGGAAGAAGTGAGGTTACCAGATACACCTCAGAATTTAAATAAAACATTGAGTGAGAATTGTAGCTTTAAGAAAGTATCTTTAATTAGATGCTGTGTCCAAATTAAGGACAAAAGTTTTAGTAAAGAGTACAGAATTTTTTGGGTTGACATTTCTTGAATTATTGTAGACACATTCAATGCATGTATTTAGAAATTCTGCCATTGGAATGGTTAAGACTTCATTTTGTGTATAATATGCTGTTGGGTTTAGGTTTGCATCGGTGAAAAGCATAAAAGACCTGGGAGATTTAGAGACATCTAAATTAATTGAAGACTTGATTTGTCTATTAAAAAAATACATATCCCTGTTAGGTTTCTTACTCTCTCCTTTGCTGATTCTCACAAATATGTTAAATTGGTATTTCCCATTAATTGTGAAAAAAGTTTACAGATAACATTTAAATGAATTGTAAATTGACTTCTGGAATTAACACATATAAATTTATATACATTCAAAAATAACATTTCAGTACCTATCTAGAAAAGTTTAAAAACTAAGAACAATGCACTATTCATGTCAATCACCAGACAATGGCTAATCATTATTAAAATATCTGTGCGTAATTGTTATTACAAATGAAAGTATGATTTTCATCCACTGAACACAAAAAAATTTATAAGAAAACAAAACAAATATCAAAGATGATACATTCTGTGTAAATAGCATGCACCCAGAGAAAATAATTTGTAATTGTATACTGTGAGATTTGTTGTTTATGCTGCCAAGGGGTAAGGTTTACTGAATCCCACCTTTCATTAAATCAGTGGCCTTGAATTGCACTGTGCTCGGGGAAAAGCTTTGTATTTGGAATTAGGCACAACTGCAATTGCAACCTAGTACTAACACATGCAAATAGTGGACTGGAAACTATTATTATGCTTTTTAGAATCTTGTTTTTTCTTTTTTTTTGTTTATAAATGTTGGAATAACAATTCCTATTCTGTAATGCACAGTGGAGTATCAATGAGAATGTATATGAAGTCTCCTAGGACACAGCTTGGCCCTATGAGTATTCAATTGTCTTTCTCTCGTGAGTAATCAACCTGGGTCTCTACCTAGGCTCTTCCCCTGATCAAAACTGGAAATCCACAGGTTCACCTAGGATGGGACTGTACTATTTCCTGTGCCAGAAAGAAACTTCTGAAATGTGTGTATTAAGCCTGGGGTCAGACTGCATCTTTCTATCTTTTGTCAGCGTCTTATTTTTAACGTTCAAGTGGTTTAGACAGGAGTGAAGATTCCCCTCCGCTCCTCTTCTTTTGACCATGCTTAAAATAGGAAACTGGGAAGAGAAGTTTTGTACTGTTACTGATACTTGTTTGGAATTAGAATGAGAGAGTCAGAGTAAGTAAATATGAAAACATATTTGAGTGTAGTAAGTAAGATATGTCCCTAAGCCTACAGGTCATTTGCTCATTTTATTCTAAGGCATGTTAATAAAATCATTTAAATTTAAAACAGTAAAAACAGAATTACAATTCTCATTATTTACTCTAGAAAAATGCCCTTTTGTCAAAAAAAAAAAAAAAAAAAAAGGAAGCAAAAAAAAAAAACCAAAAAAAAAAAAAAAATAGGCTGGGTTTTTCAGTAAAATGCTACCCACAGAAAATCAAAAATAAATATCTTAGTCTGGGTGACAGAGCGAGACCCTGCCTCAAAAACAAATAAAACCCATCAAATATCTGTTTATATATACAAAAATATTTAATTTGTTAAGTGAGAAAAAGTGAGAATCAGACCCTGGGTTACAATTTATTGTCTTATGTTTTGATTTTCTGACTTTCCAGTTCAATTTAAGAGAAGAAATCTGGGCTTCATGAAGCAAAGCTATTCCTAGTGCAGTCTACAGATTGTTAACCCCCTAACAGCTCAAGGGGCTCCATATTCGCTCACACTCCGCAGTCACTCAGGCCACTGCAGCCTGCTCCTCTCCTATCACTGCAAGAAGTACTTGCTGTCATTGGTTATCCAAGCTAAGGTTGGATTTAGAAACAGTATTTTTCTACTTTCATGTTTTTGGCATGAAGCCTACCTACCTGATTTCTAATATTCAGCTAAATATACTAGTATGTTAAGGTACGGCTTTGTTATCAATGCCAGAATGAAAACCGTTGATACAAAGGAGTATCATTCTTAGGCAAGGAGTTGCTAATAGGTGAAGATTAGAAAAAATAGATATTTTTTAATCCTTAGAAATAAACCTTGAAAAGGAAATGCATAAGTATGTCATATCTCTGTAATAAACCTGTAAAAGCAAAATGTGTGATCATCATTTATCCATAGTTAGCAATTTCTCTCCAATTATAGCTTTTCTGCAGAAATGAGTCATACTATATCCAGATACCTTTATAAATTTACATTTGCAGTAATAAATAGCAGGAGTGGCAGATGCTTTCCATTCACTATTATTGGGTTTCCACATCCACTGAAAGCAAACTCATAGACTACCTATTCTACAGGTAGGCTGAAGTGGGCTAATCTAATGGATAATGGATTGGAAAAATAATTGATTAAGTCTCAAGAAAATTTGAGTGAAAAATGCACAGATTTTAACAATGATTATACAGCAAATATAATAAAAAGTGTTAGATTTCAACTGTTCAACTTGATAGTGTAATATCTAAGGAAAAAAAAAAATAGTCTAGTGGATTCCAAGACTCTTCAGTCAGTGATTTTCATTCCTATGTGCTTTAGAAGTTAAGATGAGTCCTCCAGGGACTGATAATGTCATCCTGCAGAATACAATAAGCAATCTTGCCTCCTTGAACAATTAACATAAAAGTAAAAATTAGAAATGACATAACTCTCTGACACCATCTTAATTGTGTAGGGAAATCATAAGTGTGTGAAAGTGCTTTTTGACCTAGTGCAATGGTATATGATTATGTGGACAACCCTTATGCTGGTTTAATCTTAGCACTATTTGAGTCTTGAAAACATACCCACACACAGGTGGGTAATATGGTCTGGCTGTGAGACCCTACCCAAATCTCAACTTGTAGTCCGAATTGTAATCCCCATGTCTTGGGAGAGGAATCTCATGGGAGGTGATTAGATCATGGGGGTGGTCCAACCATGCTGTTCTCTTGATATTGAGTGAGTTCTCATGAGATCTGATAGTTTTATGAGTTTTTGTTTTTTTCCCTGTTTGCTCATTTTTCTCATTCCTGCTCCAATGTGAAGAAGGACGTATTTGCTTCCCCTTCCACCATGATTGTAAGTTTCCTGAGACCTCCCTAGCCAGGGTGGAACTGTGAGTCCGTTAAGCCTCTTTCCTTTATAAATTACCTAATCTCAGATATGTCTTTATTAGCAGCATGAGAATGGACTAATATGGTGGGGGAGAAATGCATTCTAATTACCTTCTAAAAAATACAATTTATAAAATGAAAACTAGCCCTCACTAACTGAGATCCCTTGAGACTTTTTATATAACTTAAGGTCCTAGATAAATATTTTTATGGTCGCTTTTCCATATGTCTTTACCTGGCTAACTCTTACTCTGCCTTCTAGATCTGGATTATGTACCCCGCATTCAAGTGTACCTCCTGCCAACTACTCAGATTGGGCTTCCTGACCCTCCTTTTGAGCCTCCTGTGTATGTTTCTGTGTTTATAACTTATCATTTGTGGCAAAAGCTATTAGTTTCCCTTCCTGCCAGAACTAGCATATTTTTCAGAGTGTCAAGGTACCTCACCCAACAGGTGACTAAATGGTATAAATCAATTATTCAGTTTGTCTTTGTTCCACTTGATATTCACTATCCAAGCTTTGCTTGACCAGGAGGATGACCAAGTGATCCACTTATGGGCAGGGAGATATTAGGAGAAGTCTGTCAGAGGGTTTCAGAGCAAATCTTTCTTTCTGCTTGAAAATAAATAAATAAGTTATTCTCCTTTCTCACAGATGGCTTTCTGCCTTTGGAGTTGATACGTGATATTTGACTCTATCATAGCCATGTTAGAACCAAGTGGCAAGAAGATGAATAAAGGTGAGAGTAGAAGAAGGGAAAACACTTCATTCCTTGCTGACATCATTAACTTGCCATTAAACCAATTCTGAAACTAAGTATTGGCAGAGTTCCTGTTAAGTAAACAAGAAATGTCTTTATGCTTAAGAAAAAAAATGATTTATTTGTTTTTTTTTAAATAAAAGCAACACTGAACTTAAAAGTTTGCATAAGAAATGTGTTTAACATCCCTAATATCTATCTTATAATAACAAAAATATATTATTACTGGGTATATAGAGTAATGTCAGTGTA